CTGCACCCGCTGCTCCCCTCAGTAGTGTATTTTGTCAGTCTGCCTGTTCTGTTCCCTGCTCTGGCTCTGGTGAATTCTCTCACTCTCCCGCACTTCTGACTATACCCAGTGCTTGTATAAATAAATAAATAAAATCTTAAAAAAAAAAAAAAAAGATTCTCAGCATATATGAGTCACTGCCAAACTGAGACTTCCACTTTTAACCTTTTCTAGAATTTTGCCATGCCCATAAATTCTCTGGTCTGTGTTCCAGAATGCCCCTTTGTCTTCATCTCATTGGTTTTTGTTTTATCTTTTGAAGACATCAGTCATTTGAATTTCCAGTCTCTGAGATTTCTCAGCCATTTAGTAGCCAGAAAGGATATTTATGTGCACGCAGGGTAACATGCCCTAGCAGGTCAGGATCTGGTGGATCTCTCTCTCTGAAGATTTAAACTGGAAACCAGGTCTCCAGAATGAGGAGGAAGACAGGCAAAGTGCTAGGAGATGAAGGCCCAACAGAACATAAGACACAATGAGTGAAAAAGCTGCTGGTAGGGCGGGAACTCAGTGGGTGCCACAATGTTATTTGTCTTGAGGATAACATTATGTTATGGAATGGGAGTTGGGTAGTCTTGGAAAGGGAAAGACACCAGAAGCCAGATGAAAGCCAGAATGCTAACTGAACAAAGGCCTCTCTGGCAACATGGCATAGGCTATTTGAATGCACTTTTTGCCCTGAAAAACCCCTCTTCATGAACTTAACTTTAGTCTTTACAAATTTTAACTCATTCAGCAGTTGTTCTATTCCCTCTTTATCTTGTGTAAATAGTGTATTACCGGGCTTCCCCTGTGGCGCTGCGGTTGAGCACTGGGTTGCGAAGCTGCCCGTGGCCTCTGCGACGCCGGTTCGATCCCCGGCTGCTCCCCGGCCACCGGAGGAGGGTCCCACATGGCGCGCAGACCCCTCCTGCCGCCCGCTGCTCCCCTCAGCAGTGTACTTCGGTCCTTCTGCCTGCTCTGCTCCCTGCTCTGGCTCTGGTGAATTCTCTCACCCTCCCGCGCTTCTGACTGTACCCAGTGCTTGTATAAATAAATAAATAAATCTTTAAAAAAAAAATAGTGTATTACCTTTTACAGATATTTGAGCATATTTATTCTTCTTATTCAACATACATCCATCACATTTTCAAGCCCCTTGTATTTGTCATTATCTTTCTCCCCCACCCACCCCTATTGGTCTTTAGCCAATTCTGACAAAGTTGTTTGTTTCTGAACATTTTCCTGTGAGGCACCACACTTTAAAAACACTTGTGACAATTATCCTGGTGATCATACAGATTTATGAGTGGAATTCCCACTCGGTTTTCACAGTTTTGTCCTCTCCTTTGCCAGTGCCTCTTACTCAGGGGTTGCATGCATTCTATACACTGGTGCCTTGTGCAGGGCTGGGGTCCACAGGGCCCAGGCTGGCATGCTCCTCCTTTTACACCTGGGCCTTTTAAAATCTAAGGCCTTGGAGAGTTTACTCTGTAACCATGCTATATCACAAATGTGCTGGGGACTTTTGTCCACCTCATTAGCTCCTCTCACAAATCTACGAAACAAGATGAGGAGATTGTACTTGGGGTTCTCCTAGGTCTTTTTTTTTTTTAAGATTTATTTATTTATCTATACAAGCACTGGGTACAGTCAGAAGCCGGGAGGGTGAGAGAATTCACCAGAGCCAGAGCAGGGAGCAGAGTAGGCAGAAGGACCAAAGTACACCGCTCAGGGGAGCAGCGGGCGGCAGGAGAGGTCTGCGCGCCATGTGGGACCCTCCTCCGGTGGCCGGGGAGCAGCGGGGGATTGAACCGATGCTACAGAGGCTGTGGGCAGCCTCGCAACCCAGCGCCCAACCCCTGCGTCACCGGGGAAGCCCTCTCCTAGGTCTTAACGTCTTTCTCTGGCTTCTTTGGAGAGATGTGACTGCTGCTTCCACTTTTCCCAAAGCTACTTAGACCCCCAGCAAGGCCTGTTTTAAGAGGACTTTTGATCCAAATACTTTTCAGAGGCATACAGTGAGTTACTCAAAAGTATCACATAAAAGCAACATTTATCACTGAAAAGGTGTTTAATAACATCTTTTAATAAATGTTAAATAATAATGCACTTAACTTTAAGTACTTTGCATCCTCTTTTCTCTGCGTTAATATCTTTAATTGGATCCTCTAACAGGGGATTTGGACTTAATTTATTTCAGGTGATGCTGCACTTACACAATTATTCAGCTGACTTAATTAGAGATTTAATTATATTAGTGCTCTAAAGTGCTATATCAGGGAAATAAAACACAGATAATTCACCACTTCTCTGTGTGTGCGTGTGTGTGTTCTTCATCCTACAGCTAGTGTTTTTCAAGCCATGAGGGCCAAAGTGGGCATTCTAGCACATCCTAATATGGAAAAGTCTACCTGTACTTCAATTTGGGATTTGTCCAGTCAAAATATAAGTGAAGGCAAAGTGGAAAGATTTTTGTTTAATTGTGGTTTTTTTCTCTGGCGACTATTAGAACAAAGTCATAGGTCCAGTTCTTCAGTGTTCTCTTCAACCATATCTGATTCTGCAGTCCTGTGACAGCCCCTCCAACAGGTCGTCCTAAGAAGCAACAACTGTCTTTCTCTATGTATCTCCTGCCCTACTAGAGACCTAAGCCATATAGGTGCTCAGTAAATGCTTATTGAATTGAATGTGATCAGTGTAAAGTATAGCTAAAAGGGTGTAAACCCCACACAACATTTTTAAAATACAGTAGCTCAAAATTTGTGCTCCAGTGAGTGAAGATACTCCCAAATCTGGCTAGTTATTGTAATGACCCGAGAAGCACTTTTCAGAAGTTAGAAAAGCCATCTCTAGGAACGAGGCCCAGGCATCTACGTTTTCAAGTTCCCCAGGTGACTCTGTTGTTAGCAAAGTTTAGAAACTCCTGTTTAATGTGTCTTGTCACATTTATTTACCAAGGATGCCATTTTTCAGAATAGACACATTGCCAATTCTAATTTATAGTGAAAATGAGTTTCACTGTTGCCTATTAGTTATATCTAAAAGATTTCCTTTGAGCCAACACCTTATGTTTAGCTGGTGGAAGTATATAAAGATTTCTATGAGGAATAATACTTTCCATGAAGGATTAGATTACTGGTGAGTCATAAAATGGGCATTTCACACATCAAAGCTATCATGATGGTCCCTCGGTATACAAAGCCTTGTGACCCAATTTTGTGGAGAGTAGATTTGAGTATTAACTGAGAGTCTAGTAGTCTTTGGGTAAGAGAAATTCGCTCTTTTAGGACTTGAGTAACTTTCAAAAGTGTCCTCTGTTTTGCCCAAATATGATTACCCTTCATTAAAGGGTTACATGTAATCAATGTAAGCCATCATCAAATATTCAGTTGGACCTAGCTAAATAAAGTTATAGAGTAACAATATAAATGAAGTAGTCAGAGAGATTCAGAATGTAGAACATTGTTCAACATAAACTGATCCTTTCAAAATGGCAATATCATAGGGGGAAAAAGATTAAAGTAGCCCAACGAATAAATGCAGTGTGGCAACAGGATTGATCATGGTTTGAGGAAAAATAAAAAGGCTAAAGAGGACATTCTGGAGCCATTTGGGGAAGTTTACACATGGACTATATAGTAGGTGAATATTGGTGGATTATTATTAGCTCATAATAGCATTCTGGTTATGTAAGAGAACCTTCTTAAGAGACACATGTCAAAACAAATCTCAACCATCCTGTAGCTTATGGTGTACACAAACCAAGTCCTACCAACTCAGAGCCTATTGCTAAATGTTCAAGAATTTTGTGATTCCATAACCCTCTATTACTTGAAATCTGCTATGATGGGAGTATTTATACCATAAAACTCTGCAAATGCTACAAATAGGGCTTTTTTTCCCCTCCCCTGGAGAGCTAATTTACCTGCATATACTGCCAACAGCTTACTTACAAATGGTTCGGAAAACACCCACAATATTAATAACTGTTGAATCTAGGTAAAGGATATGTGGTGACTCATTATACTAGTCCAGGAATCAGCAGACTTTTTCTATACAGGTCAAAGGGTAAATATTTTAGGTTTTGCAGTTCATAAAATCTCTGTGGCAGCTGCTTGCTCTTCAGCACTGCCATTAGAACACAAAGGCAGCCACAGACAATACTGAAATGAATGGACATGGTTATGTTCCAGCAGAACTTTATTTATAAATGGCTGGGTGGGGAGGGTAGTTTTGCAGATCTGGCTCAGGGCCATAATGTGCCCACTCTTGTGCTAGTCTTTCAACTTTTCTATAATTTAAAAATATTTTATTATAAAGAAATTCTTTTAATAAAGTTCAAATTTCTTGACCTGGTTTTCAGAGCCCTACTGGATTCCCTACCTCTTATTCCTGAAAGCTGTAGCTCACTCATCTGTTTCTAGTCTCAGGACAATGCACTCTGGTCTCCTTTGTGCTTTTGCTCAAGCTATCCCCTCTCCCTACAATTCCCTTGCTACCCCCAGCCCCATAACTACTTATTGACATTCTTAAGACATGCCTCAGATACTCTATAAAGCCTTCCTAAAATTCTTCTAATTAAAGTTGACTTCTCATTTCTTTGATCGTCTGTAGTCCTACATCTGCACCTTAGTTGTGCTGCCTTTTACTATATACCTTTAATTACTTTCTGATCTGTAAAGCAGAGAAGGACTGTTATACTTTTTACACATCATATTAATACCTGTTGCAGTTAATTATAATTAATATTTGTAAATTGAAATCCAGTTACACAGATATCCACATGCCTGCAAGTACCAATCTAGAAGTCTAAAATAAGAGTGTTAGCCTGTCTAATTTGTATTTGGGGGAATTAAGGACAACAATCATGGGCAGGCAGGTTCTTTTTTTTTTTTTTTTTTTTAAGTTTTTAAGACTGGCCTGACCCAAATCCAGCCACATTTGAGGTTGTTGTGTATTAAGTTAAAATAGACTTAATTGTGCTTGATTCAGTAGCACATATACTAAAATTGGAACCATGCAGAGAAGGTTAGTATGGCTTCTGTGCAGGGTTGATGTGCAAATCTGTGAAATGTTCCATATTTTTTTAAAAATCTTAAAAAATCAAGTCTATAGTGTTTTAGACACCATAAAGCCTTCTGTGCTATCTCAGGGAGTCACACAAACAATTCTACAAGGGAATGATGTTATCCCCATTTAGAACTGAGAGAGTTAACATTGCTTCCCTGAGCTTATAAAGCTAGAACAGGGTTTGAATCTGGCTGCCTCTAAGATCCAGCACCGTTTTAGGCCTTCATACATTCAGTGACAGGCAGGAGACCGGAGAACCCTAAACTGAAATATTCCCAAGTTCATTTGTTGTGTGGTGACATTGGGAGTGCTGATATTTGGTGGAGTCTAATTTTAAATTTCACTGGACTGGAAACCTGGCGTCTGATCTCGGCTTTACCATACTATCCATCTGTGATCTTGGGTGAGCAGCTGAGCTTCTCTGGACTTCAGTTCTCTCACCCATATACTTAGATGAACAGGTTCTTTCTTTTATCCCTTTATGTTTCATGCATTATGCAGCAATTCGAAGTCTAGTGGAGAGGTAGACAAGTGAATGGAGAATTGAAATACAACACTGTGTAATAATGCTATGCTCCAGATATGCACAGGCTGCTCCAGGAGCCCTGAAGAATTTTCCTAGCTATAAGCGCTATCATCCTAGCTGAGTACATTCCACCCAAATGAACTTTGGGGAGCTTAGTGGGAGTAGGGGATAGCGACAGTCTCAGAGCAGATAGCAAGTAGTTTCCCTAAATACATGGTAGAGGAAAAGAAGAAAAAAGCAGACTTGGCAAGAAGTAGGTGAGGAAGGGACTTCTATGCCCCATGAAAGAAATTGTTTTTTTCTTAAGGCTATTGGAAAGCAGTGAAGGGTTTTAAGCAAGATCTTATTTGCATTTTATAAAGACCTCCTTGGTAGCGTGACGGATGGAGTCCAGGGGCACAAAACTGGTGGTGGGAGGACTCTCTAAGAAGTGATTGCAAAAATAAGCCAGGCGAGGGATGAATAGCCTAAACTAATGTAGTGGCAATGGAAATGAAAAACAGGATAAATTTGAGAGCTCTGAAAGAGATAGAATGTTTGGGACCTAGTGATTATATCAGTCAAAATTGCTACACCCATACAATCTCTGTGACTCCAAACTGTATCAAAACCACAAGATGGGGTTATGCTCAACATGTCCAATGCAGGTTGGAGAGGGACCGTGCTACTCACTGTGGTCACTTGGATCTAGACCGAGGAGCTTCTCTAACATGGCCAGTGGATGTGCCAGAAGGATGCCCTGAGAGAGATTCACATGCCGGTTAAGTGCCACCGCCCAAAAGTGACATGCATCATTCACAACTCATGGATTAGAACTTGTCACTTGACCCCACCCCATCTCTGGGGACCAGAAAGCTCATTTATGGGCGAGCATAACAAGTACTGCCTTGTACCTGACTGGCTCTGAAGGAAGACTCCCAGTTTTCTGAAGAAGAAATTAGGCAGACATTTGAATCATTCACTGAGGAAGAGAAGATGGAATCAGGCAGGAGAAAGTGGATGGACCAAATCATTCAAAATCTTTTTCAGCTCTGAAGTGTAACTATTTTATGGGTTCTTTCCTGTCATCAAAGAAAGGGACTGGAAATCAACTCCATTTCTAGCTCATTCTTTCTAGTCAAATGAAATCTTTTCATTTTAAAAGGTAGCTTTCAGATCTAATACTCTGCATCTTTCTTGAATTTTCATGTGGACTCTTATGTCAACATAGAGTGTAAAAAAATATAGTTATTAACCATGATGTTAATAAAGGCGTCCTCAAATAAGAATACCAGGCTGCTGAATTCAAAATGCCAGAGATGTAAATGCCCTCTGCCTTCATTACCGCCAGCCCCCAGCAGGGCACTTTTCAAGATACCAAAGGGTGGGAGTCGGGAGGAGGTGTAATTAGGCTGATTGGAGCCTATTGTGCTCCTTTGGAGTGCAGACACTGAGCTGCTTTAGGGAATGTTAGTGTCTCAAAACCATTGGGAATGATGTCCTCTTTACCTCAAAAGAACATAGCAGAAACAGTGAATCTATACTGTTTCTCCTCTCTTTTGTTTCCCACATCCTCTCCCCAGTTTAATTGTGGTACCTTAAAAACTGACTTTCATTTGTTTCTTAACAGTTGCGAGAAACAATCAAAGCTGGCAAAGGTGTGACTTCAGCTATTGACCTGTGTCGTTACCATGGAAACAAGGCACTGGAAGCCCTGGAGAGCTTTCCTCCCTCGGAGGCCAGATCTGCTTTAGAAAACATTGTGTTTGCTGTGACCAGATTTTCGTGACACCAAATTAAAAAGACACTATTGTTAGCTGAAAAAACTGGGGAATAAGGTGATCGGGAGAGCCTTCATGATGAAATATCTAAACATGTTAATGACTTTAAAAACATACATTTTCACCCTGCCTTTTATCACATTGCTAAATGAATACTGCTTTCTTTTTGGAACTGCTGCAAACAAAATTAGAAGGAAAAAGGTCAAGCAGTTTTCACTTGTCACGCCAGAAGCACACTTGAGGATGCAGTAGCAGAAATAATTAATGAGATTCACTCCTGTGACCTCAGCAAATGGACAGGAAATAAGTCCTTATTGATTGGACCAAGCTAGGGATGGCGCCAGGGCGGTGGCCTGTGGTTTTCCTTCTAGAGAGGACAGAGCTAGCTGGAAGCTGCAGGTGTCAAGAGAAACACTATCTCTGCCAGCCAATAGGACTGTCAAATCAGAAACTGGCGACTAATTTGTCATCACAGGGAGCAGTTCAATGATTAAGAAAATGCTTTGTCTTTTTGCAGTTATCTCTGTATTCATAGATACAGTGTGAATATGCTTTGCACCTCATAATTTTTGAGAGATTGGGAAAGGGGGAAATGTCAATATTTGAAGTAGGAGATTAAAATGTTATCAGATCTTAACTTGGTTGTAGTAGGAATTGCCTGTTTTTCCTTCTTAATGACAAAGTCTTTTCAAACACACTTCACAGAACCAAAGTTTTTTTTTTTTTTTTTTTTTTAACCTGAGCAGGATGCTTTTTTCAAGTAAAATGTATTCGTTTGTAATACCACGGAGTAGAGAATACCTTTAATTTTTATAAGTTTCAGATATATAATGGTTGTATATTGTTGTTTTTTTTTTTAACCTCAGAATGTCAAATTTTGGTCTTGAACCACAGACATCCAATTACAGAAAGAATATAAGCCTGCAATCGGACACTGTCTCTATGTGGTTCATAAGAGATGATTTTTGTGGTTTGCATGCATGCAATATGAGAACTTCGTTGACAAGAAGGCTGAGTTTACATAAATGATCTAGATTGAGACTCAGCTACCTTTCTTCCTTATGTAGTGTAATTACAATCCTATCTGGAGACAGCGAACACAGCAAACAGATTTTATTACCTCATTCTACTTCAACACTAAATGAAGTTATTTTAAAATGTTAAATTTTCCCTCCCCAAAAGTTACAAAACTGTCTTTCTCAGGGCCCAGTATGTGGGATGCAATTAAGAAAAGAGAAAATACAAAGCTGCAGAGGTTAATGTATGATGAAATATTTTTAAAAATACTCAATATTAATTGTACAGTTTATGATACAGCAATGCGAAAGCCTAGATTTATCTTAAGAGAACTCCACTTTTCTGTTTGAAGTGTCTTTTCTCACAGAAATTGGCTTAATTAGTAACTCTAGTTAGAGATTTTAGATCAGAGTAGGTTTTAATCATTAACTTCCACCAAGGAGGAGTCATGCTTTGTGTTCTCTGCATATGCAGGAACTTGGAGGTGTAGGTTTTATTAAGCAGATGGTCTAGTTCTGCAGGGCACAGAACAGGATCCTAGGCCTTTTCTAATTCTGGCTTACCAGCTGGTTTGCTGTATGACCGTAAGCAAGTCGTTTTCCCTGAGCCTCAATTTCCTCATATATAAAATATGATTAAACAAGAAGAATGTATGACGTTCCTTCCTGATTTGTTTAATTTTCTAAAAGCTTGCCATTTCTGACTGTTCAGATAGCAGAGATGCCATGTGAGATTCAGGGAGAAAGAAAGCTCTGAAGAAATGCAGAAGACATATAGCACTTTCCCAGGTGACCTAACGTGTTCCCAGCCTGCTCTCCTTTGGTTAACACGTAATCCTGGGCTCTTCTGTTTCAACACTCACCTTGCTGCTTTCTTTGGGAGCCTTTCCTACTTACCTCTCCTCTTCCCAGCTCCCTTTATTTACTATACCGACCTTTCCCCACACCTTGTGCCTGCTGCCTTGCTTCCTGGGCTCAGCGGCCCACGCTACCATTGAGTAGTTCCTGGCCTCTCCCCTCCAGTCAGGTCTTCCCTAGCGGAGTTCTCATTTCCTTAGCATCTTGGCAAGCTTTTGTTAAAACCCACCTGTTGGCCAGTTCATGCCAAAGTATTAAATGTTACTTGCCTTCCTCAGGCCCCTAGAGAGAATTTAGGGGCTTCAAGCCATCTCAGTCATACATCAAACTACTGTCTGGGTGCATGCAAATAAGGTACTGACAAATGAGAGTTATTAGTCTTAGGTGATATCCGTCACCCCTCTTTGTCCACCTCCCCCGCCATCCCAAGTTTCGTACTGGAGGGAAAATTTCAACCATTAACCATTGTCCTGCTTCCCTCTACTTGGTCCAAACTTGCAAGTTTGTTCTTCCAAACCTCACTCACTTAAGGTCCCTGAACCCACCTTCATTCTCCTCCCTATCAGTTTTCTCTTTGTTGAGTATAAAGGCTTATTACATGTATACCAGTCAACAGAGAGGACTACCTGTGACTGACTGGCTTGTCTTCATGTTAGAGGACAAGCAGAATGAGGGGCACTCCAGGACCCCCAAACCTGCCTGCTCTGAATTGGTTCTGCCATATGCCTCATAAAAACAAACTCTTAGTGTATAAGACCTTCAATAGAAAAAAATGAATAGACATGCTATGCAATGAAGAGAAGAGAAAGAATAAAGGTTTCCTATGAAACACCCAAAGTTACCCATCCCCTCATGGGTAAATACCCAGCCAAACAGGGTTGGCCCCAAGCTGGGCAGCCAAGGCCCAAAAGTTTGCCATAAGCCTGATGATGTACCTTCTGGTGGGAACTTATAGGAAAGGGGCAGAAGAGGCCAGGCAAATCTGGAAGGAAAAGTGCAAAACCAAAATACAAGTCAAGATAAAACCTGCTGTTGTCAGTTTCCCTATGGGTCTCACCCACGCCTGTCTCTTTCAAGTGTCTCCTTCCATGTCCCCTAAGTCTCTTGTACAAGTCCAAGGCCGAGACACAAGTGAGGCTTCTTCATATGTCTTTCTGCTTTATTTGCCTCCTCCAAGACTTCTTCCCAGTCTTTCTAGCTTCACCTCCCTATTCAGCTCCACTTCCCTAGTGGGCTCTTGGCCTTCTCCCTCCAGGAAGTTGTGAGATAATAATCATTAATCAGGATCTAATGCTTTTTGTCTCTCATGGTGCTTCCTGGTCAGCGTGGTGGGCCAAAATGTTTGGACAGGGCTCCCCAGTACTGATAGAGTTCACCTATTCAAATAGGACTAGGCAACTCATCCTACTGCCCATCAAGTTTTTTTTACCAAGGCTGTGTCATTAGCACCAGTGGACCTGTGGTTTTCCCTTCTTTATTTCCCTTCCTTCCTGTCTGATATGCTTTGTTCTTACTCTCATCCCTAAATAAATTCTTTTCTAAATATTTAAATTATATTTCCCCAGAAACTACAAAGCAATATGCTGCCCCAAGTCTTTTAAATTCCCCAACTTAGGCAAGCTCTTTTCTGCCAAAGAAAAAAGCAACATCAGGGCCTCCCTGATGGCACAAGGGGTTAAGCACAGCGCTATGAAGCAATCCGCAGCCTCTGCAGCACAAGAGTTCAATCCCTGGCCCGCCAGGGAGCAACCCACATGGTGCAGCAGACCTCTCCTGACTCGCCTGCTGCTCCCCTCAGCAGTGTATTCTGTCAATCTGCCTGTTCTGCTCCCCACTCTGCCTCTGGTGAATCCTCTCACCCCCCGCATCTCTGGCCTGTACCCCAGCACTTGTATGCATAAATAAATAAATCTTTAAAAAAAAAAAACCAACATCAATTTGATATTGATTAGATAGTGAGCTATTTGCCATCAAATTTAGTTTGAAAGCTAAGGATTGTGACTATCATCAAACTTTGTAGTGAGCTTTTACTTGATAATACTACTAAATCCTCTTCTTTTTTTTTTTAATATATTGCTCATGTAATGTGGTTATCCATTCATACCTAAAAATAAATCACCACTGATTTTGTGTGGTCCAGGTCTCATTCTCCAATGTTTGAGACTTCATCTTGTCCCTGGCAATGTTGTTGCTATGGCCCAGGATGCAGATGATACTTACAAATGTGTAGTAAAAGACATTTACGTTAGTGCAACGTGCTCCAAAAAGATGTAGACCTTTTTTAGGACCAGTATATATAGCACATTAAATCCAGATAACCAGAAACTAATCTGAATAATTTGTGATCGCCTTTTAAAACCTGACAAATTGCTATAACAAATGTCTTTGGGCAAGTAGAGTCTTTTTTTTTTTTTTTTTTTTTTTTAAAGACTAATCAGCAAGTTCATCACTGATAAGGGAAACCTTGATTTTCAGAAAACCCTTTTCAAGCATTCTTAACTTCAGGACGATCCTTTCCTGCATCTTTATTCATCTTTCTACTTTGAAATCCTGTAATTAGTATCTTCTTTTTGACCAGTGGAAGCCCCCAGATTTCTCTTTAGAATGTATTGTGACTACCTCTCAGTCTGGAGGTTTGCCACACTATTGCTAAAATGCCAAGAGGGGCAGAACTGGAACAGGTTTTTTATTTCCTTTTAAGTATGAGGACACAATAGCCATTCTATTATTATTAATAGTTTCCATTATTGTTAATCATATTTAGCAAGTTATTTTGTTCTCTCTTAAAAAACTCAAGGCAATCTAAAAGATTACCTCTCCTTTCCTGCCTTTAGTCGTGATCCCTTCTCAAATTAACTGTTACATCATTTCAACATGGGCCCTGCCTTTCTTTCAAGGAGATAATATATTTCTAAAGTATGTAACGTACTTCTAAATGTGACTGAAAAAGAAGGTCCACCTAAAAAGAATCCAGAGGTTTTTCTGGATATCAGCCACTATCCAAGCTGATAGTGGAATCCACCCCTCCCTTTAGTTCACCCCATCTGCCCCTAGAGCTCTGAAGAGCTATTTTTTAGGACTCCTCTGGTAGAGGATTGTTCCTCCTGGAGATACAGTCTAGCACATAGAAGGTCACTTAACATCCTGAGACCTGTGTCCTTAGGCAATTTCATGGTTGTGCAAACTTCACAGAAAAGCAGTTACACAAACCTAGATGGTATGGCTAGTTCACACCTAGGCTGTGTGTGGCAGCCCATAGGCATGTCACATATGCAGTCCATTGCTGACGAAGATGTCACCAAGGGACACAGGACTGTATACTTTCTCTTCCAGTGAAAGAGAAAGTTTCTCAAGCTTTTCTTCTTTCTTTTTGGAGATGCTGACTCCATCTTCACAGAGAAGCTACGACAATTTGCTTTCAATTTGATTTGCTCACTTCTGAGACAGTTCATCATCACTGCAAACAATGGACTCTTCACTGCCTTCACTGTTGGAATAGCTTAAATTCCACCTTCTAAAAACATTTAAAGAAATTTTGGAAAAATAGAAACAAAGAATTATTCAGTCTCCTGTACTGACATAATCAGTCACCATTTCATTTGTATTTCCTCCAGCCTTTTCTCTCATGCATATCTTTTTTTGCATTGTTAGAATTATAGTATAAATCCAGCTTTGGGTCCTGCTGGTTTTCACATAATCAGACTTTTCCTATGTTGATGCAGTCTGGTAAGTAGTTTAGATTCTAAGCAAGCTTCTAATTTCTGTTACAGGTTGGGTCCTCTAGTGGAGATGGGTGTATGGTAAATATTTCATAAGTCAACCTCCTCACTTACTACTAAGAAAGTTTCTGACTTGGAAAAATAGTGCCCCTGCAGGTTCTCCATAGAGCAGGTTAAAACTATGGAGCAAATTCCCTTAAATTTCTTCAACTTGAAGGATTAATCTCGGTTGGTGGTTCCCATTTCCTGCAAGATGGACTCACACCTCTATGTATTTTTCTCTTCCTTCACTATAACTTCTCAGTCAGCCACACTGCAATATGACTTGTTCCTTCCCACTGGAGTTCACAGTCTCCTAGGGCAGGAAAGGTCATTCAGTTAATTGGCATAGCTTTTGCTTTTGGCCAAGTCCACAGGGAAACCATTTTGTAAGAGATGAGAAACCATCTTTGCTTTTTCAAAGGCTTGGAAAAGGAAACGCCTAGGGCTCAAAAGGAAACAAAATAATCTTTACTTGACTTAAATCTTTTATTCTATAACACTGAACTTGCTTTTTTTTTTTGTTATAGTCTTGTTTAGATTTTATATTTTAAGGCTTCAAATGAACTAGAAAACATCATCCTCCTCAAAGAATTAAGTGACACTTGGATCCTTTCCTTCCTAAAATAATTATTTTAAGTTTACTGTTAACATTGCTTCTCATTTTCCAGGCATTTTTGTGATGTCACCGTCTGCTCTCCTTCCATAAGTCATGAATTGCACAGTAACTTACACCCACTTTGTATATAAAATAAAACCAATTTATTGTGAGCATCCTAATTGTTGCCAATTTATAGTTCTATGGCACATTTCTCTGTCCTTTTATCCATCTTTTTTGTAGAATACCTATAATAACATTTTTTAAAAGCAACTATTTCAAAGTATAGTTTATAGACCTTAAAATTTTAAGTGTATAATTCAATGAGTTTTAGTAAATTTACAAAGTTGTGCAGGCATCACCACAAGTCAGTTTTAAAGATCCCTGTGCCCCTTTGTAGTCAACCCCTACTTCCATCCAGACTAAGCAGCCACTACTCTGTCTCTCTAGATTTGCCTTCTGTTGACATTTTATATAAATGTAATTGTACAATACCTAGTCTTTTGCATTTGGTTTCTATCAATTAACAAAATGCTTTGAGCTTTATTCATGTTGTAAACCTAATCATTATTGTTCCTTTTAATTGCTAAATAGTATTCTACTATAGGGATTTACCACATTTGTTTATTCATTTACCTGTCAGTTGGCATTTGGGTTGTTTCTACTTTTTACCTAGTGTGAATAATACTGCTTTGAGTAGTCAAGTATAAGTCTTTGTGTGGACATTGGTTTTCATTTTTCTTGAGTAGATAGATTCTCAGGAGTAAAATTGTTGAGTCACAAGGTAAATTTATGTTTAACTTTATTGAAATTTAGAAACTGTTTTACAAAGTAACTATCAATTTCTATGCCCATCAACAACAGATGGTAAGTTCCAGTTTCTTCACATCCTTACCAACCCTTCTTGTTCTCTTTTTTATTATAGCTATTCTAATAGAAATGAGACAGTATCTCATTGTGATTTTTATTTGCATTCTCCTAATAATGCTGTGCATCTTTTCATAAACATATAAGCCATTAATAGATCTGATGTGGTGAAATGTTATTCAGATTTTTTGCTTATTTACTGAGTTGTTTGTCTTACTGATTTATAAACACTTTTTATATATTCTGGATACAAGTCCTTTATTAATGTATGATGTGCAAATATTTGCTCCCAGTCTTGTGGCTTAACTTTTCTTCTTAAAGTACAAGTTTGATTTAGTCAAACTTATCAATATTTTTTCTTATAGATCATGCTTTCAGTGTCATAACTAAAGAATATTTGCCAAATCCAATGTCACAAAGATTTGCTCATGTTGTTTTCTAAAAGTTTTATAGTTTCAGCTCTTAAATGTTGGTCTCTGATCCATTTTGAGTTAATTTTTTAATATGGTGAGAAGTAGTTAATTTTATTTTTAAGATTTATTTATTTATGCATACGAGAACTGGAGTGTAGGCCAAAGGTGTGGGGGCTGAGACGATTCACCAGAGATGGAGTGGGGAGTAGATCTACTGAAGACAGATCTACTGAAATAGATCTACTGAAAGGCAGATCTGCTGAAATACACTGCTGAGGGTAACAGCAGCTGAGACATGAGAGGTCTGCTGTGCCATGTGGGTTGGCTCCCTGGCCAGGGATTGAACTCATGTTGCAGTGGCTGTTGATAGTTTGATAGCTCTATGTCTTTAACACCTGTGCCACCAGGGAGGCCCATTAATTTTTTTTATATCATGATACAAACATCTTTTTTTTCCTTTGGTACTAACATGCCATTATTTTACATCCTTCCTAGTGTTTTGACAGTGTAAGATTTCCCCCTTCAGTGTAGTCAGTATAGCACTCCCACCAACAAAACACACATAGTCCTTCACCATAGTCCATTGTAGTCTCACCCCAACTTCCACCCCCACCAAAGCCAAAGATCTATGGTCAGTTTTCAGGGATTGGTTTTAAAGCCTGTCTTAATCTGACCCTTTGTTTTTCTATATTCCACATATAAGTGACACCGTCCAGTATTTATCTTTCTTCTTCTAACTTATTTCACTTAGTATAATCCCTTCCAGCTCCATCCATGTTGCTACAAATGGCATGAGTTTGTCTTTTTTGATTACTGAGTAGTAATTTAATTTTAAGATTTATTTATGCATATAAGAACTGGGATACAGGCCAGAGGTGTGGGGGGTTGAGAGGATTCACCAGAGATAGAGCAGAGAGCAGAACAGGTGGATTGACTAAAATACACTGCTGAGAGGAGCAACAGGCGAGACAGGAGAGGTCTGCAGCACCATGTGGGTCACCTACCTGGCCGGGGATCAAACTCGTGCTGCAGTGGCTGCGGATAGCTTTATAGTGCTGCTTCTAAACACCTTGCGCCACCAGGGAGCCTCCTGAGTAGTATTCCATTGTGTATATATCTCACAACTTCTTGATCCATCCATCTTTTTTTTTTTTTATCCATCCATCTTATGGGGGGTACTTAGGTTGTCTCCAAATCTTGGCTATTGTAAATAGTGCTGCTATAAACATGGGGGTTTGGGTTCCCTTTCAAATTAGTGTTTTTGTAATTTGGGGGTAGATACCTAGCAATGGGATTGTTGGATTTTATGGCAGATCCATTCTTAGTCTTTTGAGAAACCTGTGGGAAGTCAAGTTTAAAGCATGATACAAGCATCTGTTTTTCCTTTGGTTCTAAAGTACCATTATGGGCATGAGGGTTTCTCATATCCACCACTAGTCACATGATTATCTGGATCTTTCTGTGTTATGGTGGTCTGCCCTACACAGTGTTGGATGTTTAGCAGCTGCTCCAGCCTCTATCCGCTAAATGTCAGTAGCTTCCCTGCCCCCTGTTATAACAACCAGCATTATCTCCAGACATTGCCAAGTGTTAGGGGAGAGGGTGGCAAAATCGTCTCCATTAAAAACCACTGGACTAAATTAATCTTTTTGTATGTGGATATCTAATTGTTCTAGAATCAATTCTTGAAAGGACTATTCTTTCTGCCTTTGCATTGCCTTAATAACGTTGTAGAAAATTAATTGACCATAAATATAAGGGTTTCTTTCTGGG